AGCAAATTAATATCCTTTAATATCAGTGTGATCCAAAATATTCCAAGACTCCTATAGGATAAAAAATAGATGAGGCAGAATTTTCTCACACTTTGTACCATACAAAATAAGCCGTTTCCTGGAAGATGTATTCTGTTAACACTAAGATTAGATTAGTTCAGTTGGTTTGCCTGCTAGCTTATACAGACATGGCCATTTTCATGTGAAAAGTGCATTCATCTTTGAAATTGATACAGTTGACCCTGCACATGTGGAGGATTATTTACACTTTGGAATCTCTAGGTCCCCCAGTACAATTTATGGTCAACTTCACACTGGAGCACCTCGAGGTTTCTAGAGAGATGTTCTCTTGGATTTTAAAAATGTGATTTTTCATTTGCAGTTTTTTTCCCACTTTTGCAGGGGTCCTGCACCCCTCACTCCAGTGGATTGGGAGGGTTGTCTGTGTTCTGAAATAGAAAATCATCTCATCCACCCCAGTTATCAAGCTGTGTGGCTTAGTTCTAGCTAAGAATCATTAACAGGAAAAATTGTAGAAGAAACAGTGAGAAGGAAGTGCAGTGGGAATAAATGGCAACAGTCCCTTCCTTCATGAACTACTTGTCAAAATCAGGAATCAGAGAAGTGGCCATTGCAGGCTGTAATTAACTGACAAGGTACCATCCAAATGATAATCATTTGAGAAGAAGTACTGATTTGAATTACGTTAGTACTAGAGCCGCTGCTCTGACCCTGTTGAGTATTTCCAGTTTCATAGCCTGCTTATATCAGCAGGAGTGTGTATGACAGCACCTGGGGAAATGGATGGTTCTTGTGTACAAGTGTCTGTTTTTGGCTTTTTAAGTTTGTTGAGTGAGAGCACGGGCAAATGACCCAGCCTTGTGAAACACATTTGCCCTTGGAGTTGATGTGGAAAGACTATTTCCTGTAATCAGTTGGGAGGAGACGGGGAACCGTTAGGGCAGGTGCCGAAGTATAAATCTGAGAGCATGTTTCCTAACTGTGGACAGTGCTGCAAAGTGCATGTCTGGCCAGCTTTACTTATCATCTGCATTATGCTCATTTTCATTTTCTATATCTGACTTAAACTCTCCTTTTTTTTTGTTTCTCTTCACCTTTAAGCACAAACATAAACCATCCTTGCTACAGCCTAGAACAGTTAAGTAAACTCTTCACTGCCCTTTAAGTGTCTTGTCCCATGAAATAGCAGTGTTGTAGTGATCTTTGTCATCAGTGATGTCTGTACAATTCTCTCATCCTTGTGATCTGTGCTGAACTTCATGGGCTCATCCGCATTGCTTTTTCTTTTCCTTTTACTATGCTGCTTGTTGAAATAGTTGAGAGCTTTGCTCGTCTCCCCAGAATGGCGGAGGTGGGCTCATGCTTCTGTGTGGGTACCAAGGTTTCATTATTTTCATCATTTTGCTACTGAAAAATGGAATTTGTTTTATGTTCAAGCAATGCAGTAGTATTGAAAAGAGTCTGTTAATTCTTAGATGTCCATTTTGCACATGTATGTATGGATGAAATGAACAGGCAGGTATCCTCTGAACTGGCTTTTCATTGATAATGCCCTGCTTCAACATGTATTGTCAAATGCATAGCTTTGTTTTGCAACCTCTGCTTTTCCTTATAGAATCGGGGACATAGAATTGTCATAGTGCTTTATACGTATTGCACCCTGTGGGTCTTGGATGTGGCTTCAAAGGTTAAAGGATAATTTAATACCCACACTCACATATTTTCCACCCGGAAAGTTAGCTTTTGCTGTGTCAAATGAACCCATGCCCCTTGTAGAACTGGGGCATGGATTCATTTGTTAAGGAGTTTGGGTCTTGTCTGCCCAGTCCAGTGCGCCTTTGTGCTTTGGATCTTTGCACACCTATTTGTGTATGTAGCTCCCACCAGTTACGTAATTAAATTTTTTACTTGCTGGTAAAAATAAACTCAGACTGCATATAACTGCATTGAATGCTCAATAGCACTTCTAAAGCATTCTTAAGGTAGCTCCGAACTTAGTCTTTTACTTAGTCTTTTAGACTGCATTCCACTCTTAAACCAAACACTTTCTGTAGCACTTCTCCATTCCAGTCTGTCTGACAACATCTCTTTTGTCAGGACGCTGTGGGGTGGAGGAAGTGGGACATCCTCAATATGCTACAATTCTTGTGTTATCCACCCAATGAAGCTGGAAATAAAAGGGAAGCAGGCAGAGTGAAGGGATAGGAAATGTGCCTAGCTGTGTTTAAACATGGTGTTGCCTTGATTCTAGGGCAGCGGAAGAAGCCTTTGTCAATGATGTGGATGAATCGTCCCCTGGCACCGAGTGGGAACGTGTGGCTCGGCTCTGTGACTTTAACCCCAAGTCGAGTAAGCAGGCGAAGGACGTGTCCCGCATGCGCTCAGTCCTGATTTCACTCAAGCAGGCTCCGCTGGTTCGCTGAAGGAAAGGCACACACAACACTATAAATGCAATATCTTTTAACTTTACTCAGAGAAACTGTGTTTGCAGTAATTGGATTAATTATGTTTAAATGTTTTTGTTTTTGGACCAAACCTCATGACGTATTTAGAGTTTGATCATTGTTTTGTGATTGCATGTTCTTCCCTCATTTGAGCCCTCCTGGTGTCCAGACTGGGAGGTAACTTGCAGAATCATAATCTCTGTGCTCCCAGGCACTGAGATTTCACTTTCAACTGTACTGATATTAAAGGTCTGTTTAAACAGCACTTGTGTGTGGGGACTTAAAAATCCAGTGACTTTTATACTGCTTTAAAAGATACTAGCTTTGTAAACTGTGTACCTAAAAATAGATTCTAGTTTTGAACACTTAAGAACAACTGACTACAAAAAAGCAAAGCAGAAAAACAGTCTCTCTCCTGTAAAACAAAGTATTTATATTTACTGGGGTCTAATGTGCCGTCGAATTTAATGCATATCTCAATTATGAAAACCCTAAAACCAAAAGAAATATTTGCTGCTGAATGTAATGCAGTGGCAAAAAGTGCACTCTTTGTAATTTGGCCCAAAAAGGTATGCATTACACTTGCTGCCTGCTTAGAATTACTTCTTTAAAAACAAAAGTATTAGAACACCAAAGCTTCCAGCAATGGGAAAGAAAACCTTGGAGTGCATCTATGATGCAGAATGAATTCACCTTAACTCCCTTTGTTCAGTGCTATGGGACCTGGGGGCTAGTTTTACAAGGTTTGGAGCTTTCTCTGCCAAGGAATGCAGATTCCCCACCAAACTACAAATCCCAGGTTTGTATAGCATTGAGCCATGGCAATTAAATTAGTTTACATCCTTCAAATAGGAGCTTCAGGTTCTCCTGAAGGACCTTCCCTTTTGCTTTGGCTCAGCACTAGCGCAAATCTAATGTGCACTCTAATTTTGGCAAAGTAATGTAGGCAAAAAGGGTGAGCATTAGATTTGAGTAAAGGAGTGTCTTCCTTTTTGCCACTGCAAGAGGTTTTGTTTCTTACAACTCTGTTTCACCCAAACAGCTTTAACTCCTGGTAGCAAGGCTCTGGGATTTTATTATACCTACCTTATTTTCATCTGCTAGCTTAATTTAGGGAAGTCTTCCTTTTTTGTCTCCTGCTCTTAGCTGATGTTTGTAAAAGGAGAAAAAAGGTTGCGTGTGAGAGAGATGGTTAAGCATAGGTTGGGCAGATGTGATGTATAATCTGTCTTGTGGGGGTGGTGAAGTCTTCTTAATGAGTAGGATTGTTAGGTCTGGGACCTGAAGGCTCTTTAACTATTTAAAGTGGCAGTGAAGGGGGAAATATATAAATCTGGCTTGGGATTCTAAAAATGTAGAATCATCATAAAAGGAGAAACTGTTATCAAAGACACTTGAACATGATGATTTATTCAAATACAAGTGTGATATTGTCCTCAGTCTGTCTCTGCTACCTAGCTGTAATTCAGGCACAGTGCAATATAAATGATTGACAGGGATGCTTGATGTTCTGTTAAAGACTGTCAGAGACAATACGTACAGAAAGAAAAAAAAATGGGTAGGGTCTATGAGGAGGAAAAAAGAGCAAGTTGCTGAATTTGGTGCTTTTCAATCTCGGGATTCCCACCTCCCTTCAGACAGGTAATTGTATTGCAAACATCTCTGGTATCATCTTACAAGTGTAAATCTCCTGAAGTACAAAAATGGATAACATGGAACAGCACTGCCTCTAATTCTAGAAAACGGATGTATTGTTCTGTTTGTAGACAAGACAATATTGCTATGAAGGTAGCCATAGCTCATCCCCTGTCTCAAACAGGCAGTGAAGTCGTGAAAGATGTCAGCATGAGCCAATTATTTTTCTGTTGAGCACATTCAAAATACTAAATCCAGAGGATTTTCAGTTTCTTGCCAGCATTCTGAATCAAGAAGCCACTGCATGTCTCCCCAGGCCTATAAAAGACAAATCCAAAATGACAACCCAGCTACATATTGCATAATGATCAACCCCAAAACTGAACTAGGATGTCCCTGCAGCTATCAATTTACAAGCAAGATGGGGACACGCTACAACATTCACTTAACACATTTGCACTTTCATCCGGTACTGAACTTGGAGGTGCCTGTGCTCATGAAGAGAGCTACCTACAATATTACTTTCTGTATATTTTCAGGCAGATAGATGGGGGATCAATAACTGTTTCATGGCAGCTAGATCCTATTTAGCTTACTTAAAGGTGGGTTGTACTCTGGGAGTAGCAGCAAACAAAGACAACATAACTTAAAATTATAGTATACTTGTGGATAAGTTGACCTAGATAAGTTGAGGGCAGCTTTTGGGGCAATTCCGTAAGTCTGCAGAGGGGAAAGGACCCCTTTTGCCTCAGGAGGCTAGTGTCCCTTACTGTCGCTGCCATTCTAAATCCCAGACATTTAAAAAAGTCAGAAATGGTGAAAGAGATTTGGTGTTATTACTTCTATGTTCTGCCCAAGTGGCCAAAGTTCTCATCTTTTGCTAATGTACTCAGAACAGAGTTCAGGTAAATACTTTAATGAACAAATTGAGCCAGGGTTTTTGGGTGACTAGATTATTCAGATTTCTACATAAGTACAAACAGTAAATGCATGTTATTTAAATAATATCACACATTGCCAACTAAAATTAGCAGAAGTTTTTAGGGCCACATAGTCTACTTCCTTGGAGGCAAGTAGAGCAGTCTTGGGGATTCAGAAAGGTAGAGCATGCAAATATAGAAAGCTATATAGTTGCACCTTCCAGAGTCACAATCGTATGTTCCTCAAGCCTCCAAACTGCACTGCCAAGTATTTGAAGAAGTGGGCCATGAAACTTCAGTTTTAAAATACGTCTTAGTCTTAGAGATCCTATGCAACTCCTTGTTACGCTAAACATGGCTACCCCTTTGAAAATGAAAACAATTCCTGTGCTCTTAGAATGGTAGTCTTCAGACTTATTGTTCAGTATTTGGGAATGTCATTCTATCACACTTCATTCTTAACATGCCTTTAAAACCAACTTAAGAAACTGTCTTGCATTGTCTTATTAAATGGGTCTGCTGATTTTCACTGCACAAGGTAGCATAAATAGATGTGTACTTGGCGCAACCACATAAATGGCATCCTCAATCAAACCAGGGCACACAATCATCATAGCATTCCAGTGAGTCTTCACCTTCAAGTCTTCAAGTGTTTTGAGACCATGCACTCTCAACTACTACATAATTCAGCAAACATAATTCAAATATTGGCACTGCCATAGTGGTGTACAGAAGAAGTCATTCTTAGTTTAAGGAAGCATACTTAAGTTCCCAGTCTCAAAATAACTTTAGTGAGGCTATTATTGAGGTAGGTACATCATAAAGCAGAGTGGCAAAAAGGTATTTTGGTGTACAGAAACAACTGTGCTGCTAAAATTGTGTGACATCTCTGAAATCCAGTTTAAGTGTAGAATTTAGTTTGCCAACATTCACAAGGCAGATAATTGCATATCAATATGCCCCTCTCCCAGTGCTCCCAAGGCAAATGCCTAACTCATCTCGATCAATGAGTAAAAGCAGCCTGTGGCACTGATTGTTTCCCTAAGCAATAGGAGAGCTCTGATTAAAAAGCAAGATCAGAGACCTTTTAATATCAATATTAAAGATATACGTAAGACAAAGAATGAGAAAAAAGAGAGTTATTACACAAAATTATGATTTATGGAATATTGTGTGAGTTAATGAAGAGTTACTGAATTTGACATGCCATACAGTATTTCATTTGTTTACATCATCTTTGGAAAATAATAAATAAAAAGATTTTTTTTCTCTTAAAAAAGGATATGAATTAGATAGGTTGCATTTTTACAAAAAGATACAATCACAAGCAACTTGAGGCAAAATTAGTATTTTGGCACACTTACCTATATGTAAGTTCTTAGATGATTTCTTATAAGTGTACCATACGTCGGTTGACTAATTTTCTCAATAAGGATTAATATTAATTTAGCAAATAAATACATAGATGATCACTGCATGTTCTAGAATGATATGGTTGTAGTTTCATCAGACAGAACATGGTTTTCTGTTTCATTCTCCAGATGAAAAACAGTTAGATACACATCTGTAAGGAAAATATATTTCCTTTTTTAATGACTATTCCAGTGTTTGACTACTGAAATAAGTAAGTCATGGCTAATCCAACGGGAAAAACCACAACCAAGACAAAATAAATTTCAACCTCTATAATCTTTAGGCACCCTCTGGAATTGTTTACTATCGTAAAAGTTTGTAAGAGGATTTTATCTGCAAACTACCTTTCCAGTATCCTTTGACCTTCCATCTTATAAATGGAAATGCACATAAAAAGGAATATTTGGGGACAAAACCATTTTTCATTACTTCTTATGCTGCCTAAAAGATAACTTGAACCAGTAAGAAATCTTTTTGCACAGAGCGACTATAAACTGCTGCATCCGGTTTCTACTTTAGTATATCCTGCGTGTTGTATAATCCAGAACCATGCTAGCAGCTCCAAGCAGGGCAGGATCTACCAAGTCTGAGACAACCACATCCACCGCCTGTGCAGAAAACAAGGCCCGCTGTTGGATCACTTCTTTCACAACGCCAACATAATGGCTTGCCAAGATGCCAGAAAGTATGACAAGGGAGGGGTTAATGGTGTGCAGAATATTCACCACTCCAAGGCCCAGTGCTTGTCCAGCTGTAAGAGCACAAAAAGAAAGAAAATCCTGGATTTAGTCAAGAAGTGGGAAAAATGTAGTTAAGAAAGGAATTACTATGTCCAAAATAGCCTTGTCTCGCTGTCATTTCTGATTTTGCAAGCTTCTTAATCCACTTCAGAGGCAACAACAGCAGAGTGAACACAAACACCGTGCAGAGCTGCACCTTTCTCACACTGTGCTCAACAGTCCAGAACAAAACTACTGCCTGCTTTATTTAAGGACAAGACTAACTGAGATATGACAAGTTGACAATAAGAGCCCTACCTAATGTCATGGTTTAAAAAATGTGGCAAATAGTGACTCAGAAGATGACACTCCTTGTTAGGTAGAGAAGGCTTTCCATCTCTACAGAAAGCCTTTCTTATATTTAGTACTTCCTAGAACAAGTTTGGGCACCCTGATATCCACCAACCAAAAAAGCACAAAAGATCAAGAGAACGAATAACAAGCCCAGGATTATGTCTTGGAACAAGAAGACATGAACTGAGCTAACAGTTACATACAAATCCACTCCTGGTTATCATTTTTTTTCAGCAACAAATTTGTGGGAGAAGTATCAGTTTATTGCACTACTATTATACAACTAAGACCCAGAAATGTGTTTCAATCTATTATTATTACAACAACAACAACAATTAGATACACAACAAGATTAGTACACAGCAAAATAGATCACTATCCTGGCTTTTGTATTGGATCACACGTCTGACACTTCCCAAGTGTGCAGGACTGTGTAATGTATAGGCGAATAATGTGTGCAGATGTGAGTAAGGTGGCCTTTTGCAGCTGGCAGTAATTTTGTTAGCACCGATTGTTTACAAGTGCAGGCAAAGGTCTTTAAGGCACGGTGCCCAGTGTGCCGATCACCACTGGGACCACCTTTACTGGCTTGTGCCAGAGTCTTTGATCTTTAAATCCTCATATCGTGTAAGCTTTTCCAGTTGCTTCTTGTCAATTCTGCTGTCGATTATTATTATTATTATCATTATTAACAACTTTATTTATACCCTGCCTTTCTCCCCATGGTGACTCAAGGCAGCTAACAATTCTACACTAGACAAATTTTAAAAAAATGCAATACAAAAGTTAAAAAACAATTAAATAGTAACAGTGTGGTAAAAACAGAATTACAATACAATAAATACACTTAAAATGGCCTTTTAAAAACTACTGCATGTTACCTAGTTGTCTTTTATAAGATTTTAAGCAACCTACTTAATAAAACAATTTTAAAAAGTTATAATAAAAAGAATCCTAGAATTCAGGACTCATGAGGATCGGAACAAGAGGGGAGAGTCCTCATCAAATTGTACCAGTGCAACAAGGGAGACCTCTGCCCAATCCAAAATAAATACATACATACAGAATATGTAGTAATGTGTTGGTTGCTTTGAAAGGAGTATGCAAATACTAGGTTTAGTTGGTTCATGTGATAAGAGAAAATCACCTCTTTTTTAAAATGTGACTGAATGGAGTTGTTATGGAGGCGATTAATCACTCAAAGTATTGAGCATTTAGGGCAACTAGAAGCTGAACTTGAGTTGGGGGTAAGGCTTGTTTATACTCGACAGATAAAAGCTGTTACTCCATTTTAAAAATGAAATACGTTACATATTCAATCTGGGGCTTGGGTAAAGTCAGCTCCCATGTGATCTAGAGTTGGAAGCTCACACATCAGTGACAATGCTATCTTGCTAAACGTTAACTGAGGAGTATTCCTCAAGTGGTGACAGAGAGACAGTAATCCTGAATAAAAAGGTCTCTCACTGCCACTAAGAAGGCATCATATAACATTTCTGACAGCTGTGGCACATTGAAGAAGCAGCAACCACAGCTCCAAATTGTCTATGCCCAGAAGTAGATGAAAAGACACCCTCTCCATCCCAAAATACCTTTGCCCCGGCCTCAGAAGGAAGAAAGAAAAGGCAGTATCTGCTGGACATAATGCCCTCCCATACTATCATCCCCTTTTCCTCAATTAAATTGTAGGCCTGAGGATAGGGTACGATTACGTTTCTTTTACTTGTAAAGTGTCTTGTACATTGATGGCACTACAATACTACTACAACTACTATTAGACAATAGACAATGGTGATGGTAGAGGAGTTCCCCCTTTCTCCACATAACAAAGCTTTTCATATTCTGCTGAGACTTCAGAAAGCATTACAGCTACAGGTAGGATGTGATTTCTGTGAGACCAGGCTAATGAATTCCAAGAAAGAAAAAAAAAAAAGAAAAAGAAAAAAAAGGTGATCCAATTGACAATGTTCTACATTACATTTAGATTACTTCTACTACCCTGAAATGTATGATCTCAAAAATTCATAGATTAAAAAAAAGTTTCCTTTTCTTCCACTTACAGATGCCCTTTATAAACCAGGCATGTTATGTTAGGGCTGTTTGTTCACCTGAAGGCTTTACTACATCTAGGCAAAGGCCCATTTTTTACTGCTAATGTTACTCTGCACCAGGCGTTGAATGTGGTCAGTGCTACACCAATAGGAAGCAGAGTTGCCACATCATACTTGTTATCACAGACAGGAGTCTCAAGTAAGATTTATGGCTTCCATTTGTATTCTTACCTGTTCTGATAATATGTTCAGCTTTAGGATTCCCCAGTTTAGCTGCTTGGATCAGATGTACAGCAGTTACTACTTCTTCCTTCTTTACAGACATCCCTCCAACTAACAATGAATCCTCTGAAGGAACAAAAAAGATAGAAAGAAGGAAGGCAATAATGACTGAGAAATGAGAACATTGGTCTTATGATTGGTGATATTATAATTCACCAATCATAAGACCAATCTGAGGCCACAGAGTGAAGAGGAGGCAGCCAGGAAGTCCATAGTGTCTCATCCACCATCAGTTGGGATCCCCTCCCTCCAACTTCAACTTCCACTCTTGAGGCCTCAGAGTGAAGAGGGGACAGCCAGGAAGACACAGCGCCACCATGTCTTGTCCACCAGCAGTTGCGAATGAGCTCCGGAACTGATGGAAGGACAAGCGATAATAGGGTCGTAACACCAAGCAAATATTATCCAAATTTAAGCTATTTGGCCAGAAACTGAAAAGAATAACACAGAAACATATATTTTGACAAATGGTAGATTTGCGTGAAACCCAAAGAGTGGATCAATGACAAACCAGAAAAAAGGAATAAAAGAAAAGGAATAAGACCAATCGATGTATTGTTGAAGGCTTTCATGGCCGAAATCATTGGGTTGTTGTAGGTTTTTCCGGGCTGTATGGCCATGTTCTAGAGGCATTTTCTCCTGACGTTTCACCTGCATCTATGGCAAGCATCCTCAGAGGTAGTGAGGTGATCTACCATTCCCATCAACTTTAACATTGTACTATTCTGTTGAATCACCTGGTTGGCTTGCATTTCAGATACAATACATTAGGAAACGATGGACTCAAATAACCCAGTTTCTTTCAGCAGGGTCTTTGCCCACAGTGGGTGTGCTTGATCCTACTTCTGTCAGCATTGAAATATCTTGCCATTATGTAGCACTAGAAAGTCAGTAGGTTCTTTTATATCTTCTATATACTGTACAGAAAAGCTATCTTTTAGCAGCCGGAAGCAGTTCAAAGTGATACAGCGTGAGAGCACAGCTTGAGGGACATACATGCCTGACAGTGTTTAACTTATCCATGGTCATTTGAAAAGAGGCAGCAAAAATAAACATGGCAAACTTCAAAAGTACTACTGTGCTTAACAATGTAAATGACAGCTTATTTTAATTTCACAATGCATAATAACTATTCTCCTAAAACCAGGATCTGTCGCAAAATAGAACACTTGAAATCAGAAAAGCATTATTGCAGATCTGTAAGAAAAAAGGCTAGTCCCATTAAGGTAAACAAGTTTCTTTGGTAGCAATTATTTTTTGGCTGCAGGTCAATATACCTAGAATATGACGGTCAACTTGAAACAGCTTCCTTGTGGCATATTATCTAATACAGATGAGTTTGTGTTAATTTTCACATGATGAATTTTCAGAATAATATGCACATTCCTAATATCATTAAGAGACATATGCTGATTTACCTCTCAAACAATAGCTTGACTTGGCTATGAGCAGCAAAATTAATTGAGAACAAACTGCTTCTGAAAAACCTGGCAGTCCTTGTTTAAGAACCCACACAAAGTGATATTCTGACATTTGATTACTTAAAACAAGGATTAAGAGCATATGGTTCTTTAGATATTTGGATTCCAATTCCCATCAGAGTATATAATGAGAGGTGATGGAAGCAGCACTCCATTCACATCTGGGGTGTGGAGCAAAGGTTCCCTACCTAATTTCAATGGGTGTACGTACCGGACTTTTAGAACATATGCATTACATGCATGTGATATAATCAAACATGTACCTACCATCATGCAATTTTTTAGCTTCTCTTTGCAAGGCTATTCCAGAAGCGTAGGCTTCTAAACATCCATGGCTCCCACAGAGGCACTCTGGTCCATCGAGAGCTACCATAATGTGCCCAAGTTCAGCAGCACAAAAAGAGCTCCCATGAATCAATTCATTTTGATGAATGATTCCACCACCAATACCTGAAAGGTAAAGATAGCAAAAGATTTTCATCCAAATAGCAGGGCCTGAAGGCATGTAGAAAACCTGTAATTTCTACATGCTTTTCCAGTTGTATGTAAGAAAAGGGCAAACAACATTCTCTTTGCTACTTATTGCAGAAACAAAAAGCAGGTGACACATACCAGCTTTTGGACAAAACAGTACCAGGATTCTTTTTTTTCAAAATCATACGTCTTATGTTATGTATCCCATATTAGTATTTCAATAGATGCAACTGAACATATTAAGATACAAATAAATCCAGATATCACTTGTGACTACCATCTGTAAACATGTAGTTTATCTTTTCTGTTTTTAGAATATAAATACAGTGTGACGCCTATGAACTTTAAGTAAAAGATGCACATGGAAGGGGATACTTAATGTTCTATTCTTAAACCTACTGCAATTTAGTCTACATCATAATTATCCACACTACAGCCTAAATAAACATTTGCTTTTTTCAGGCTTTTAAACTTTGAAAATGTCAGTTATTGCTAGTCTGACACTAAAAAAAGCTATGCTTGAATTAGTCTCAACATTGAGCATCTGAGGCTAGTTTCACCACTTATTGCACTGTAACCAAACAAGTTACTGCCAATTCAAAACTGGTAGGGGAAAATTATCTGCACATAAATGCTAAAGTTTAGCAGGAGGTTGGTTAAGCTGCAGACTAGAGCAGCATTTGCTTATTGTTGGAACAGCTGATCTTCATCTCATTGGAACAACTGTCAATTTAACCATTGCATACAGTAAAAAGGGACTCAAATTTGCTTTCTCTCAATTTACACTTGGAATTGCTTTATTCTCAGCTTTTCATTTGCTTGCATAAAAGCTTTTATTCCATTTTTTTTGGACAACAAAGAGTAAATGTATGGCACAATTAGGAAGTCTTCATCCACCATATTTACTCAAGTGCAATGTGCCATCAATTGTAATGTGCACCTCAATTTTGAAGGTGCATATTGCAAAAAAAATGTTTTTTGTTGAATGTCAGCGGTTCTGCTTTCTACCTTGGAATGGCTGACATACAAGAGAAAGTTGTGCCCCTTCATAAGGTGAGGTGCACAGTAAACTTGCACATGTAAACCCACCTGTGCCCCTCTGTCAGGCCGAGGCTGAACTTGCCAGCCTCAGCCTGACAGATGGGAGGGCTGCTTCCCAAAGAAGGCCTCATTCATGAAGCCTTCAAAACTGAGGTGGAGGTCTTGAAAGCCTTGTGAATGAGGCTAGTTGGGGAGCCATGCCCTTCTTCAGGCCAAGGTTGGCGAGTTAGGCTGCCTCGGCCTGACGGAGGGAAAGCAGGTGAAATTTACATGTGCGGGTCTAATGTGCACCTCACCTTTGGTAATGTAATTTAGCCAAAAAAGTGAGCCTCAGATTCAAGTAAATATGGTATTTAAATGCGTTATAATCTGTTTTTCCAGTACTCAAGACAGTTTATATCATATTAACTGTTTAAAATGAATAACCTTATGTGAAACACAAAAGAAACCCAGGGCTACTTAAAGTACTTTTCCACAGACCACTGACAAATTATTAAAAGAACTCTTTTTCGTCGTCGTCATCACCATCATATTATTATTATTATTATTATTATTATTATTAATTATTATTATTATTTTCTCTCTTAAAAAAGCGACTCAAAGCGGTTCACAATAAAACCAGTTCAATACTATTTAAAACCTAAACATATGTAAACACTGAAATAGAATTAAATATGAACAGTATTAAAAATAGATAATTGAAACAATAGCACTCTCATACTTGATCTTAAAAACCTCCTTCTTTAAAAGCTTGATCAAATAAAAGGTTTTAGCCTGCCACTGGAAGGACAGCAAAGAGGAGGCCATCCTGGCTTCCCTGGGAAGAAAGGAGTTCCAGAGTCAAGGGGCAGCCCCCAATAAGGCTCACTCTCTTATTCACATCAACTTAGCTTGCAGTGGAGATGGAACTGAGAGAAGGACATCTCCTAAGAATCTTAGGACCTGGGGCAAATTCATACAGAGAGATACAATCAACCCAATATTAGCTCTGTGTTGGAATTTGGTCTGAACACAAAGGTACCTGTCCCAGTGATGAGCGTTACAAAGTTTTCTACTCCTTTTCCATGCCCAAATTTTCTCTCTGCAAGAGCTGCACAGTTGCCGTCGTTGTCAACCCACACTGGCAAGTGCAGAGCATCTGATATGGGAGTCCGTAAGTCAACAGAACTCCATTCTTGAATAAGTTTTGTGGAATGGAGAACAACACCTTCTCGAGGATTTACTCGCCCACCTGTAGAAATGCCTGAGAACCAAGGCACATGTCAAAAAGAAAAAAAAAGGAATTACACCATTGCTTTGATTTGAGGGGGGGGGGCTTTAAATAAGCATTCATTGTCAATTTGTCATACAGAAACAAAACAACCTCTTCTCACCATCATTTGTGTCTCTTGTTTGCTTGTCGTCAACAAGCAAATAACTATTAACATCTGGTAACTTATTCAAAGAGCCATTGTGGTGTAGTGTTTTGAGTGTTGGAATACTACTACTACTACTATTAATAATAATAATCTTTATTTATATCCCGCCTTTCACCCCAGGGGGACTCAAGGCAGCTAACATTTAGCCACACTAGACAGTTTAAAAAGAGCAATACAAAAGTTAAAAAAACAAAGTAACAGTGTGGTAAAAACAGAATTAAAATACAGTAAACACACTAAAATGGCCTTTCAAACTGCATTATATAGCACTGTAGATGGGGTGTGGAAACCAAGGAAACTCACTTGCCCTTGGCAAGTTACTCTTTCTTAGTCTCAGGAGAAGACCATACTAGGCTCACTCTGAACCAATCTTACCAAGAAACTCTAATGATTAGTTTGACTTAGGGTCACCATGAGCAAGAAATGACTCAAAATATACATTCACATTTGCATATAGTAAGAAATTGCCTTAGAATGTACCCATTTCACAGTCTGCATTCACATTTTGACCATTCTTCATTGCTTTGTCACCATAGATAGTGGTTACACTGAAAAGATTAGCAGAAAATCTAAAAGGAGTGTGATTGAGACCCCATCTACACTGCCATATAATATCCAGATTATCTGACGGTGTAGACTCATATAATCCAGTTCAAAGCAGATAATATGAATTATATCTGCAATAATCTGGATTATATGGCAGTGTAGATCAAGCATGAGAAGCTGATGAAGAACTCTAATCTCCTTGTACTGTAAATAATTTGTGTGTGTTTTAAGCAACTTTTTATTATATCTCACTTTAAAACACACACACACACTGTTTAGCACACTAATATATAATGGTGTCTTTTTGAGAGCTAGAAAATGTGTCATTTGTTAAAAACTTACCCACACCCAGAATTCTGCAGTTCAGATTTACTGCTTCTGATGCAGCTTCTATACACATCTTAAGGATCAATTCTATTCTTTCCTCATAGGTTTTGGGATTCAGCTGAGTATCTTTCTTAACAATTTCACCCTTAATGAAAGAAAAAACCTTTAAATGTCTTTTATTTTTCCTACATACTGTCCTCCTATATTAAAGGTGACTTTTCTACAGGCAATCCCCGGGTTATGAAGAATTAACATTTAATAGATGCCTCAAAACAGTTTACCTTCATGCTAACAATTGCTACCCGGAGGTTTGTTCCCCCTAGATCCACGGCCAGCGCGCTCTGGGTTTCTAGGATATGGTCAATATCTTGAGAGATGTTCTCTTTTACAGGAGGGAAGCAGAATTTCTTCTGAAGGGGTTCTTGGAGGTCAATAGATTTAAGGAACTTCAAGATTCTTGGAACAGCATTTCCATCCCCATATATTTTTGAACTATTGTTATCAGGAAAAAAAAAACCAATAGGAACACATAAAGCAAGAACAGTAATGCACATTGCAATCCAATTTTTTTTCCTCAATAATTGCTTCTTAAAGTGTGGGTCCTGACAGTTTAAGCTTAGTTTAGTGTAGGAGTCACAAAACTATTTGGCAACAGTAACAGTTTCCTCAATGTCATCTAGCAGTGGTTTGACATTTACTCAGATCTGTTGTGGAGTGTTTACAGTGAACTCTACAAAATATGTACATTAAAAGAAATTTCAGTCCATTTAAGCCCAGAAAAGGCTGGATATACAAAGACCTAAAATGAAAGGGTTTTTAAAAAATCTGCATGACTGTTTACTAAAACACTAACTGCTGCTACTTGCGTAGCAGGCAACATTACACACATTATTGGTGTTATTTCTATGATACTACTGTGAATTAAGCAGCACTGCATACAATGACCAAAATTTTATATCTCTTGCAACCACTTTCAATGGTGTCAAACATGTGGTCCTATAGATGTTTTGGACTTCAGCTTGCAGAATTCGTTATCATTGAACAAGCCGGCAAGGACTTCTGGGAGTTGGGAGGTCCAAAAATCTGGAAGGCCACAAAATTGACATGTCTCATTTACATTATTATACTTACCAGGGATACTGTTTTCCAAACTGGAGATGTAGGGCTTGCAGTATTTTGTCCTGGGTGTCAGCATCACGAACGTGAAGGACATTTTCACCTTGGTTTTTAAAGAAGTCACAAAAATGATGTTATAAAAAGATACTGAAATGCCAAATACCTGCTGTTGAATGTCACCAATGCATTTCCAACAAGGAAAAAGGGCTTGTATAGGAAGGTCCTGCACCAATTCAGTTACAAATGCTGACACTTCAGCTAAACCAGTGGTTCTCAACCTGTGGGTCCCAGATATTTTGGCCTTCAACTCCCAGAAATAGTAACAGCTGGTATTTCTGGGAGTTGTAGGCCAAAACACCTGGGGACCTACAGGTTGGGAACAACTGAGTTAAACTGAAGTGAAATTTTACTGCACTGTAGACAAGCAAATTATTGCAATTATTTAATATAATTATGGTGACGTTTTAGTATTTGTTGGCAATAGCAATCTGTGCATATCTAGACTATTAATTTATTTACTGCATTTATATACCGCTTTTCTCACCCGTGAGGGGACTCAAAGTAGTTGTCAATGTAATAATGGCAAAAAAATTCAATGCCATACATACATGTGAAAACCAAAGCATAATATCTAGACAATAACATAGAACTATAAATTAAAAACATTAACCATATTAAAACATAAACCATAAAAACATTTAGACATTAAAGCATAGAATTAAAACATCAACAATACAATAACATTTATATTAAATCCAACCCCTTAAAACAACACAATTTAAAAACAACTATTAAAATCATGCCATTCAGAATCATAATCTGAAGCAGTTCCATTGGCCGGTAAAAGTATGATAGCAGACCCAACAGTACGCTAGTTGCGCAACGTGGCTGTGAATTAAGGAAGGGAAGAGGTGTGTGAGACAATGGAGCAAGTGAAAGATGCAGCTGCGGCAGGATAGCACCGAAGTAATTTAACTCAGGTGGGAGAAGATAAGAGTGAAGTAATGTAACAAAAATTTAATGTGGAATGATAAACGGCTGACAAAGACCTTAAACGGGGTAGAAATGAGCTATCTGGACAAAAGTATGACAGCTGGGACTCAGCACTGCTGTAATTTCTCGCCTCCTTTTTATCCTTCCTTGCAGCAGCTGTGTCTCTCACTCCCTGCACGGACTCGCACATGTGTTCCCCTCATTAAATCAGACTCATGTTACACAACCAGTGTAGGGTTCCAGCTATCATACTTTTGCCCACTATTCCTTATCAAACACAAGATTGTATATGCAGAAGAGTATATTTTCTTGAAGGAATGGTAAAAGCATGTTTTATTCTTATTAAAGTATTAGGATGTCTCTATATGTAGAATAATGGAGTTTGACGCCACTTTAACTCAATGCTATGGAATCTTGAGATTTGTAGTTTGGTGAGGCACCAGCACTCTTTGGCAGAAAAGGCTAAATAACTTGTCAAACTACAACCTCCATGACTACAACCTCCATGACAGCAATGACCCATTGCCATTAAAATTATATCAACTGCATTAATTCTGCACTGCATGCTAAGTATATTTATATGACACAATACAGAAATGTGAGTTTAACAGGGACCAACAGGGATGGTCCTTTCCAGGACAACATTACTTCTAACTATAAATGTAAAATTCTGATATGTCATAATATGTTATATTTAATACCAATGAAGTAAAATAAAAGTGGTAAGATAAAGTAAAAGGCAGAAGTGAGGGAGAAAAGTAGACTACAGTACAGATGGATTTCCTCAATAAAAGAAGCCACAGCCCTGATCTTGCAAGAGCTGAGCAGGACTGGTGCACCTGGAGGTCTCTAATTCATAAATCAAAGTTGACTTGATGGCAAGTAACAACAACAATAGCAAGGGCAACTTGTATTGGTTTAGAAATAACAGAGAACAGGTAGGTCATGAAGTTTGAGGGCATCAGGTGCAAGCAGCTTTGCAGACTACTTTTCTGATCATTTCGCTCCTATTTCTCCCATAAGTCCCTTGCTAAGTCAGCTGTTCCAAAATAATGAAACATACTAGACAAATAAGGTAATGCAAAGAAAATGCACACAAGTTTTCATAGTTGAACTTTTCAACAATGAAAGGAGATTATAGATTTAAAAACAAAATAAACTGGAATGCTTAACAAGGACAAGTAGTTTCCCTGGTATTTAAGAATCCTATTGGTTTGCACAAAAGACACCCACATTATTATTACAAGGAGAGACTGCAATTACCATAACTCATTTGGATAAAAAAGGAAAGACTTTTCCAACCAAATATAGATAGAGTAGAAACAAGATAGCAATTGTGGGGTTTTCCCCACCATATTGAAAATAGTATACAGCTAAATCAAACAACTTATACAGAAACTGTAATTTTGTACACACAACAAAACCAGAGTCAATAAAAAATTGAGTTGTATACTCCTTAACCCCACTGAGTGACCTATAGCACAAGAACTCTAAGGAACCCCTATTTATGTTGTCTAGCAGATTCTATTCTGGGGGCAAAAGAGAAAGGAAATTGCCTCTCTATTTTTTTTTTTCATTTTTCCCCTGCCTGGAAATACTAACCAATGCATTAGCAACATTCATGTCCAGTTCCCAATTCAACTGGCAATTTGCCAAACAGATTTAACTCAAGACGTTCAGGAAACTAACAAAGACCTGGTTGTGGAACGCAGCATTTGACAACTGATTTAATTCTTTGCCCACATGAAAGGAGGATGATGAATGGGATTGTGATGGTGTCGGACGATTTGGCTCTTTTAACTGGGATGATAATGTTTTAATGTGTATGGTGCTGATATTTTAATCGTGTAATTAAGTGGCATTGTGTTGTTATTGTATATTTTTTGTATGTTAACACATGTTGTGAACCGGTCCGAATCCCTCTTTGAAGGTGAGAGGGTCGGTATATAAAACCTCGAAATAAATAATAAATAAATAAGACTGCAAATATAAGTGCTATTTTATGACACTATTATGTGAAAATTCCTCAGGAGTTTGAATAACTGCAAATATATAAATTGTAAAAACAAGGAAAAATACAATTACCTATTGTTGTTTCTAGGCATTAAGAGATCTGGGTACAATTTGAAAAATGGACATAGAAAAAAGCAGCTTTAAGAGCACACAAATACGCTACAAACATGTAAAAAATGATACCATACCTGTTTCTCTTCCTATCTGCCGTGTTCCAAGATTGATGACTGGAGTACCAAAAGCCCCAACTTCTCGCACACCACAACTACTGTTCCCAATCACACAACCAGCATGAGCCACTAACTGAATAAACTGGTCAAAGGGAACATGCTTTACTGCTCGGAAATTCGGGTGGTGCTCAACACCTTTCTTCCTCATTACTCGAACCATTTCTTTGCTCCCTGTGGTAAAAGCAACCATACACTGTGTAACAAATTGACTGTATTTTAATAGAATGACTACTATTGGCAACACTGTTATGCTTAACCATATAAACAGAAAATCTACGATACCCAAAACCCTGGCATAACTCTATAATCTCTTACTTGGAGGTATGTTTTTGTAATAAAATTACAACACAATAGCTGTTTTGAACATTAACACCTAAATCAGAGGACAACACATATTAGGCTAGCCACTGAGTTCAATTTGAAAGTTAAATTCTTGCTTAATTGTTTTCCTAAATGAAGTAAATTAGATTTGAAAGCATTTTGATCGATCATGATACTCTTTTTTTTCTAAATAGAATTTGTGGATCAAAGTTTTCAACACTGGCTGCTTATGCAACCCCAAAAATTCATTATGTGACATATAACGACATGACAAGAAAAGAGCTGTAGTGCTTACATCCCATGTTTTAAGCTTATTAAATAAAATGCATCACACTCACCTGCATCAATATTTGGGAATAAAACCAATGTCATCTTATTAAAAGATATAAGAGCATCCAAAGTCAATTCAAACATCTTTATGGAATGTTTAATATCTGTGGTCACTGGGTGTTGTAAAGCTACTATATAATCCTTTGGTTTTACATCCTCACCTGTAAAAGCCAAGTAAAAAAAACAAAACACATTACTTAAAACAAAAACCAGAACTCTTAGCCTGCAGAAGGAAACCGTAATAACAATAATGTCAATACTAAAGATAGTTTTTTGTACCATGAAGTAAATCAGTTTCTCTTTTCTTCCAAAGGCATGAAATCACCTCAACCGTTTCTTGAATTATGAAACCGCACATAAGAAATATATAATTAAGTTTTAATATGATGTTCAATAAGGCCATCAATTATTTTTAATATTCATTTATATGTTAACATTCTGACAAGTCATTGCCCGAAGAAACTCATATGCCATCATTTACTTTTAAAGGTAGACACCTGCTGTATATATGAGTGTATAAGCTGACCTCATGTATACATTTTGGCCCCCAAATTATGGATTCCAAAATGACTCATAGATAAGTCAAGGGTTATTCTGTGGGATGGAGAAAATGTCTCTCAGAAGGCCAATCACCCCTGGTTATCACTGCTGCGATTTCCATACCTAAGTATTCAGGAAAAGCCAAAAATGGCACTACATGAGAGAGAATAGAGGGGGTTGATACTTTTCTTAGGATCTTCTGGGGAAGACTATGCTCTTGCCTGGTCCCACTTTGCTAAGAGAAGGGGATGATTAAGATACAATATATTCATTGACCCATTGGTAAGTCAAACCAGATTTTGGGGAGTTGATTTTTTAAACTAATTTTCTAGTCTATATATGAGTGTATACAGTAATTGTCTTGTTTATCTGTGTTAAATGGACAAGAAAGACATCAATTTATCTGAAAAATAAAATTAAGGAGAAAAATATCAAGCACTTTTCTCCCCAAATACAGCAGATTTCAAACTTAGAAGCATCTCTTGTCAAATATCAAAGACATGACTATGTTCCATTGGATTATTACAATGAGCTAAAAATGCCACTGATATGTACTGCTACACTTTGATTACACAAGAAACAGTACATTGCTTTATATATGTGTAATCTGACATTGAATTATCGGCTGTATAAACCATGTTTTGTTGATTGCAAGAGACCAAGTGATCAAATATTTGGCAGGATATCCTATCTAAAAGTTGATGGATTGCACTTAATTTGGCAATTCACTTTTTCTATGTACATTCATACAAACAAACATATTTACCTAACCACATGCGGATAATGCTCATGTAGTCTTTCTTTTTGGAAGACAGCAACTTGTCATAGGAAGGGCAGCCAGCCAGGAGGATCCGATCATGGTCTTCACACATAGATATCAAGTGCTGCTCTGCATTCCTCGTGCAACACACATGGTAATGAGCCAACTTGGTTATGGCATGTCTAATGGAGTCATCTATGGTCCCACTGACTTCTCCTCCTTCAATGTGCAGAATTCGAATGTTCATTAAGGCTGCAGAAGTTGCCAGTGCAAGAGCATCAAACCTGTCTCCATGGACTATCATTATGTCAGGTTTCAGGCGATTGAGGACATCTGGCAGTTTGACCAAGGCAAGGCCAACTGACTCCACCATGGATGCCTCATCTTCTCCTCTCACTATTGTATGTAACCTGGTATGGATGTCAAAGTCATCCTGCTCAATCATACGGTAAGTGTTACTATAAAGGAAAAGAGAGGGAGGTTTTTAGATTGTAATCAAGGCTTGGGACCAGGACTTAGAGTAGATCCAATGAAATCAAAGGAGCTTAACTATACTCCAGAAAAAGGCAAAAACTTGTTTCAAGGGTTCTCCATTACTATAAAGATGGGAAAGTAGCTTTTTAGACGGTTGGCATGTTAGAGACATTTAGCTTTATATATTTAAATAACTGGCACTATCTGACACCAAACAGCACAAAAAATTCACTATATATACAAGCTAGCGGAAGAAACAAGTGAGGAAAGGAGCACCAAAGGGGGTGGCAGTAATGAGGAAAAGGTGGCATTGCTTCTCCTCATGCCCCAGGTGAAAGAAAGCATGGGGTGTCATTACAGAAGATAATATTCTATTATAAAACCAAGGCACTGCACTTATACCTGGCTCAGGAAGGTGAAAGGTGGTATTCCCCTCACTACTACAGGTTTTGCAGTTCTGCAAGTAAGACCAGAAAGACTGATCTGTTCATACCAACAGATGTATGGTATTTACAAATACTGCCTGCAGTATACTATGCATCTATTTGGAAATATATATGGAATTCATTAATTATTAATTAATGTCCATGTAATGTGAAAGCTTTCATATAATGGTCGAATACTAATTTGGTCAGATTTTTATAAAGGGATTGTTTTTCACACTTTTAATACTTAATACGGAGTGCTCAGTGTTTATTTGTGTCAATGAGTACTGTAACTATAATCAATCGTTCAATTTTTTAAAAAAATGCTTCAGTGATTACACCCAAGCCTGCAAGACCTCATATCGGCAAGATCAAAATCTATTGTTCAATATAACAAAAAAGGAATATCTAGAAATTTTCTAAGCCCTTTTCTGATTCCATGGTATGCTTCATTTGGAAGACCTGGAGGACCTAACAAATTCCCAGAGAGGATACTTCTCTAGGAATTGCCTAGAATTTCCTCAGTCCTCCAGGGGAACTCTGTGGGAACTTCTGATGGAAATCATTTTAATAGGATTTGCTATTATTCATGGCTTTCTATTTCCACAATAAGTTCAGGAACATATCATCCATGGATATGGGGATCATACAGTAGTTAGAAAAAATGTATTTATCCTTTAAACAATTTTAAATAAGTAAAGAATGATTCAAGAAATGGTCTGGGAGGACTTCATACTACACTGTGTTGCTCAGAAGATTTGGGCCAGATAACTATTGACCTGAAACATGGATGGAGGACCACCACCAGGAGTTCAATATAATACACCCTGACCTTTGATGAGGACAACAAGGTTACAAAATCAACCAACATTCATAATTCCTGGCTAAATTAATGGGATTTAACAGTCTCTGTGCCGTGTGTATGAAGTCTGAATGGCACTAACAACTCTTTCAACCATCCTTGGGATTAGTAGGTATTGTGGATCACTCTAGAATAAAAAGAAGCCCCTCCTTCACCAATTCAGTGTGATGAGCAGAAACAACAGTATACCTCTTACCCATAGTCATCAATCAGGTGGGATCCAAGAACCACCACGTCAAGCTGAAAGAACTGTGGTTCAGCCTTAATGCCAAACATAATTGGTGCCAATTTGGAATAATCAGCTCGGTTACAAGTAGCAACGCAAACCCGAAGTTTCCGGTTGTTCCCATTTTTCTCCATTACTTGCTTTTGTTTCTGTTTAGACAGGTTCTTGAAATAGAGTTCCTGGAATAATACAAGACACAATATAACTAAAACAACATTATAATACTCAGTGAGGTGTACTAAAAAAAATTAACTGTATTTAAGCTTTGCCTAAGTATTTGCCTTGTTGATGTAGTGTGCCTTGAAGTCATTATGGTGACCTTAAGGCAAGCCTATAATGAGAATTTCTTGGCATGCTATGCCCCCCAGGGACAGAGAGAACGTGACTTGCATTCAAAATCCTCCAGTGAGTTCAATTGATGAGTAGGGATTTGAACACTAGTATCCAGAGTTGTAGTCCAATACTCAAATCACCAGACCATGCTGGCTCTATTCCATATGTGCATTGCAAAAATTGATGTTTTTTCCCTTGCATCTTGTGGCTATCTGAATTTAATTTTTGGAAAACTAGTTTTAGATACATAATTAAAAAAGAACATTTGCAGAATTTAAGTTCTTTATTGCAATCGTGATTGGATCTTCGTGAAATTTAAGTAGCTATTTCTGTTACTAAATTTGTTTTACTCACTTATTATTATTTTATTATCATAATCTAACATATTATTATTTTATTATCATAATCTAAAAGGACTTTTCCCATACAAAATTTTCCAGAAATGAAGAACAGCACAAAACATGGAAGTATATTTTGGGAGTTTGCTTATATTATACAAACACATTGCTTTTCTATAAACATTTATGTCACTACTATGATTCTCTCATTTAAGCACATTATTAATTAAATAATTATATCAAACAAATATGTGGATTTTTGAGTTTAATTTATTGGACGCAGCCTGATATTTTTATGTGAAGTTGAAAAAATAGGTTATACGACATACTATTAAGTTTCTCAGATTTAATGTTTTGCCATTTAAGTGTCTTCAAGTCACCTCTTGACTTATGCCAACCCTATCCTAGCATTTTATTGACAAGCTTTATTCAAAAGTGGATTCCCACTACCTTTTTCTGAGGCTGAGAGAGTGTGACATGACCCAGGGATTAAAACCCTTTTTTTTCCAGAAGTGTGGTTCAGCACTCAGCACTACACTGGCTCTATTTTCCCCTGCAAATTAAGAAATGCCTGTTTAACTTTTGCTTTGTTGTATAGAGCAGTGGTTCTCAAAGTGTGCTCCACAAAGCCCTTGTGGCTCTGTGAGAGACACTCAGGGGCTCCGTGGGCGACCCACTTTGTTTGGGTTTGTGGCTTCCCTTCCCTTTCCCATATATTACTTTGCTGCATGCTCGCCACGTGGTCTTTGCGACCACATGGTTGTTAGTACTGGCCAACATGCTGCAAAGTCATGACCACATGGCGAGGGAGCCATTGCTACTTCCACCCCTGAGGGGGGACTGCCAGCTTCAACCGAGGGACACACTGCATGAGCTGCTGCAGCATACACTACCACCCCCAAGGAGGAACACACTGCATGTGTTACTTCTCCCAAGAGGGGATACATGGCATGTGCTGCCACCACTGCCCAAGGAGGGTGTGCTGCATGCACTGCCGTCCCCAAGGAGAGACCCTTTGCAGCATGCTGGCCATGTAGTATTGGTGACTACGTGGCCAGCATACTACAGAGACCATGCCAAGACAGCCACTGCCACCACCGTCACTGAGGAGGGACCCGTGGTAATGCGCTGCTACCGCCCCTCCTCATTCAAGGACCCGCCGCACCCACTGCTGAAGCTGCCATGGCCAAAGCTGCCTCACATGCCATCTCACCTGCCAGACCCTCTCTCTCCAAATAGATTTGTTGTTTGTCTGTTTTATCATGGTGTTGAATGTTTGCCACTTTTGATGGAAATCATCGAGTCCCCTCAGGGAAATAGGGCAGGTTACAAATAAAGTCTTATTATTATTATTACTTATTGCTGAGAAGCCCCTCTCTCCACACTGAATCAGGCTTGGAGGAAAGTGACAGAAGCCCTGGATTCAAGTTGAGTGACAAAGTCTGGCTTTAGCCTTTTTTGAAGTGAGAAAGGCAACAGTGTAAATGGCCAAGACTCCTGTTTGGGTCTAGACTCAGTTTGGCTGCTGTTCCTCACCTTTCACTCCTTCAATGTGTCCGCGCTATAGCAGGGAAGTAATCCTAGGACAGGGCTGGAGAATTCTTTGCCTGCAGCTCCTATCATAACTTCCCCTTTTTACAAGGACTTGAAATCCCAAATACACAGAGAACCAAACCTTTCCCAAATTCTTGTACCTCTCTCTTTTCCTCCTTCTTTGGAAGCTTTTAAGCAGAGGCTTGATTGCCATCTGTTGGGGGCCTTTGAATGTATTGCTCTTGTATGGCAGAGGAGGGTTGGACTGGATGGCCTCTGGACTTTCTGTTAGTATTACTACTACTACTACTACTCCTATTACTACTACTACTACAAAGGCAGAATGGCCATCTGTTGGGGTGCTTTGATTATGTTTTTCCTGCATGTTAGAAGAGGGTTGGACTGGATGACTCCTGGGGACTTCCACTGAAATACTGTTAAATTTATTTTGGTCAAAAAGTTTGCTCATGCTTAATATATATACATTATATATAATATAATACGTTATATAATATAAAAACATTTTTTGGGTCTCCATGAGAAACTTTTGCTTCAAAAAGGGTTCCACGGTTAACAATGTTTGAGAACCCCTGCTCTAATGAAAACATTCTGTACTCTGGTAGCACATTAATTTTAACTCAGAAGGACAAAAGCAAACACACAGCAGGCGAAAAAACCTGAAATACCATTGCTGATCCAATTTAAACTAACAAAACTAGCTACTCTAGTTATGCAACTAAGTATCAAGACTTCATTCCTGTCAACATATAATTAAACTCAGAAGCATAATATTACAATCAGACAAAACACTCTTCTTATAACACTTAAGGCTATGGTAGCAAGTATCGCTTTGGGCACTGATATGAGCCATTATAAACCATTATAGGTGTACAACAGAGTTGGAAGGACAATAGGTTTATAAACAAGCATACTGGTATCCCTACAAATGTCCTGATACTCAAATACTCTCTGCTTCATTGGAAAACATGATGCATTCGCAGAGCTCAGACAGTGTTTTATTTTGGCAATTTGTATGGTGGTGGCTGTCTAGGTAGTAGAAATGGTCAATGTTTTCTAGTGCTACACCATTAAGATGTATTGCTGGCATGCAGAGGGATTGATTGGTGCCTGCTGGTAGAGCACTTTTGTTTTCTTGATGTTCACCTTTGCTTTTCAAATGCTTCTGCAAATGTGTTTAAAGTGGCTTGTAGGTCTTTCTCTAATGAGCACAGACTACATTATTGTCAGCATATAGTATAGTGCAAATATGACTTACCTTCTATGTTCTTCTACCTTACAATGAAGGATTAAATATTAGCTTTTATCAATAGTTGCACCAGATTTATACCACCTCCTCTTGCACAACACTGAGCAATGAGCCCTGATTAACTCATAAATTGCTCCCTCTAATAGTTTCATACTCTCTCAGCAGAAGCAAACAAACAAAATAGTAAGAAAAAGTCCCTTTAAATGAAATATGAGGGCAAAGGGTTAGAGCAATTTTAATGTCAGAAGAGCAAAAGAATGTAACTTCAAGTAATAAGGTGTCTAAACCTCTGCAAATTAAGAACAACTGCCTGAAACCAAGTCAAACATGACAATGAGATAATATTATTTTCTAAGCATGAACACATATAATTACTATAGTGGTATTTGGTAAACAAGAGATAGTATTTTAAGCCATAAAAGCAACTGCATTTGGAGAACAGAAGCATCAAAATGATCTAGCAGGCTATTGGCACATAATAATGCTTAACACACAGCATCCACATTTTTTGTGGGCAGGGTCTTTAATGTTGTTCAGGCAGAAATTCAACATGTGAGGAGTAAAGTATTCAATGTCTTGGCGAATTTGTGAACAATTACAACAGAAGACTGAAAGGTTCATGAGCAGATTCCATCAATTCCAGAGCCGCATTTTCATGTATAATGTAAAAACCCCTTCTGCAAATGTTCGTACAGAAATGTTGATAATCACAATTTTCTGAATATGCAGATTCAGGATAAGTTGTGATATGTCATCTTTACCATTGCTGTTTGCCTCAAAGTATTTTCTTGCCATGATTGTTCAAGGGGTTTTTGCCTTTGCCTTTCTCTGAGGTTGAGAGTGTGTGATTAGCCCAAATTCACCAAGTGGGGTTCCATGAACTAGCAGGGACTCAGACCCTGGTCTCCATGGTCATAGTTATAATACTAAAACCACTACAATACTCTCATTTTTATCAATTTAACATTAATTTTTGCACATACCCATATATACATTTTTAGACATTTAAGAAATTTACTTCAATATTCAATTATCGAGGGGCATTTACTGCTTGCTATACAATGACAACTTCCAACACACACACATACACACACACAGCTGAGTGATCACAACCAAAAGACATAGATAACTTGTTCTGACATTTCAGTTTAGATGATTTGGAAATATTTTCAACAAAAACCAATTTTTTGAGACATCAATAGCAAGAGGAATCTCTACTTCCTAAAAATTTAAAACACTGTGGCATCAGTTTTATACATATCATATAAAGACTTTAATATATATTTTAATTCTGTTGTAAGACATTTCTAGTATACATAATATCGCTTACGTAATATTCCTGATAATTCTATTTCCTGAGCATTTTAGGGACTTTGACTCCCTTATCTCTCACTGTCCATTTTGAAATCCAAACATTTGTGTTACCAGTAACTGCAAAGGCTGAAACATTAACAATTTCATGCTTATTTTGGTTTGGGAAATCACAAGTTTACCTCATGACTAACTAAATTCCGTGCCTTCTTCAGTACTGTACTCATAGTAGATTCCCATAAATCTTTTCTTCTAGCAGTAAAATAAGCATACCAAGCAGCACAACAGAGCAGTTTTGAAAAATTATTCTGACTCCAGCTTTCAGAATTCTCAGCTACTGTGTTATAGTCCAAAAAGCACTTATCCTGAAACAGGGTTACCCTCCAAAATGAAAAAG